CAGAGGAGTGGGCCAACCTTTGGAAGATCAGTATAAACCCTGACAAGAGTCAGGCGATACTGTTCACCCGCAGGTTGGTACAACCGGAAGGCAACGTCACCTTCAACGGACAAGAGATTCCGTGGACCAGCAAAGCGACATACTTGGGGGGTCATCCTAGACAAGAGATTAACATTTCAGTCTCACGTACCTCAGAGAATTGGAATGGCTAGACACGCCAGACAACGACTTGCACCTATCATAGGATGCAGAAGCAACATGGGGCTGAAAGTGAAGTTGCTAATGATCAAAACCGTCCTCATGCCCATAATGCTGTATGCCTGCACTGCCTGGGGCCAGTGCGCACAGACATACAGGAAGCAGATATAGTCATTTATAAACGCGAGCGTAAGGGCCGCCGTAAACGCGCCGTACTATATCCCAAATAGATATATATACAGAGACTTAGACCTGGACACGCAATATGTGGATGTGTATATGAGAGAACACGCAAAAAGCGTGTTCGATAGAATCAGATCGCACAACAACCCAGCGCTACGCGATCTACACGATGCGTTGAACATGGATGACCCCAGGTTCCGAGAAAAGGACAAACATCCAAGGCCGACGAAGCAGAACCAAAGACCGCCCCCACGAGTCGATGTCAGGCGACTCCGGTAAGTACACTAATCAGATTTTCTTCCAGCAAGTTCACCGCAGAACAACTCGAACGCGATCCAATTTTCCTTAGATTCACTAAGGAACGCCCGGCGTTAATAAAAATAGTCAGACAAAACAATTTACCGATAGTAAAAGAATAGCACCTTAAGGCTGACTTTCGACCAAAAGAGGTCAGATGTCAATCTTGCTGAAGTGCCCATCAGTGAGTTGAGGACCGCTCGGAGAGCGGGGGTGGATGGAGTGGGGTAGTAGGTTCTCCTCACTAAATTGCTGGGGGGGAAGCTTCTACTTCAGGGCACTCAACCCGAGAGGGGGCATGGGGGGCAATACTAAAGATACCAAGCAGAGCACAAGAATATGATACGATTGCCGAAACATTATGATAACGTCAAAGACGAACTACAGCACATGATACCATCTGTGAAGGATACCCACATACACTTGTGGATCCAATATTATTCTAACCTCCAGCAGGATAATTTCGTAAAACAAAATCTGTTTAATCTATATAAGAGTTAATATAAAATAAATATGATTTTTATATACAGCATATATTTGATTTGTGTACATGAGAATTAACTCATTAGGACACTCTTTTTTAAGCACCTGCACCCAAGTAACATACTCAAAGCAAAGAGACTGATTAAGACAACCTTCATATCAAAACCTAGGAAAAATGGACTTGAGATCTATCATCTATCATCAAAAAGATTACAAAAACTATTCGTCGAACATATTAGGAATGTAACTTTGGCTAACAGACTAGTGCAACGAGACCAATATGTGTACAGGTCAGATATATCAACAGAATCAACTCTATGCTAGGTCACTTTAATGAAATGAATAAAAACACTTCTGTCTATGCTAGGTCACGGAAGAAGTATAACATGCTTAGAAGTACTTTCATCATCTTTCTTGGACATTGAGGGTGACCTTAGTCCAGGGTATGTACAATAATATAGAGAGGGAATGCAAGCTGCAAGCCCTGAATATTATAACAAAATGAGCCGAGGAAGAAGGGCTGAAAATAAGTTCATTGAAATCGACCACAGTAGCATTCACCAAGAGGACCAAGACAGAGGACTTAGGACCTTTAAAACTTCGAGGTGAAAAAATATACCTGTCAGGAGGTATGTGAACTGGGAGATATACTAAATCCATGGCTGGCATGAAACCAACATCTGAAAAGAGTGAAAAGAAAGGCGGATGTAGCAGTGATGCTGGCCAGACACAACAAGGGAAAAACATTAGGGGTGAAACGAAACATGATTTATAGGCTCTATATCATGGTGGTTAAACCCATGATAGTATATGCATCTATGGTCTGGTGGCCAAAGATAAAATAAATAACCGCTATCTATAAACTAAGCAGGGTGCAAAGACTTGCAAAGGAAAGCATCCCAATGGCTGCATTGCAGATACTCTAGAATCTTCCTACTCTATACATCTTGAAAAGCACGAATGGGCTAATTCAGATTGGAAAACTCAACGAACAAACCAGAAATTTCGGAATATGTGGTGGAACGAACATCTAACATATTCTCAGACCACATGGCACTGGAATAAATGATCGACAAAAACTATGCAGTTAAAGCTTCAGACAGCAAATATTGTTGAATGAACAGTCATACCGAAAATATTCCTGAACACATGGTATACAGGTCAAAATTCGAACATGGAGAATATTTTTTTCAACTTACCGATTTGGTCAGTACACGTCAGTCTTCCAGGTTGAAGTGTATGCAATCTTGCAATGCGCAAGGAATATTGATCTGAGGTCACAGATCACACACAAGGGTCTGCACAAGGGTCACTCACTAACCCAAAAGAGACATCCAGTGGGAATGCGGTGAAGAACTGAGAACACTGTTGGACAGGAATCGATTGAATATATACTGGGTTCCGTGACAAACAAACATCGCGGGATAACTTCAATTCCGAAGGTACCTATTTTTGATGTTGATGGTAATAAAATTATGTTCGTTTGAAGGTGGTTGACAATATTTCATGGTGAATTTCATTAGTTCGAATTGCCATTCATAGACGTATTGGTGAAGAGGACCAACACCAAGTGGGAAACATCTGTATACCGAAACCACTCACACAGAATAGTATCTGAACCACAAATCCAACCACAATCAATCGACTAAACGAGAAATCATCAATACTCTAGTAGAACGTGCTTTCGGGCTTTGTAATACAAAGAAAGGTCTCGAGAAGGAGAACTAGGCATCATCAAAATGATGTATTTCATCAGTTCGGACTGTAAACAAAATTAAAAAAGATTAACCAAAAAATAACGATTTCATTAAACAAAAAACTGAAATTACAAAGAAACAACATACAAGAAACAACCAAAAAAATTGAAATATTATTACAAGCTGAAAATTAAACAATTAAAAATATTATTAACAAGAAATGAAAATTAAAAATTAAAATATTCCAAATCGAGTTACGTCACGACGTTTCGATTGTCAGTATCCACAATCGTCTTCGGATGATAACTGGACTTATTCCTCCAAGATCTGACTATTTATAGGTCATTCAAGTGCTTTCACCTATCCCCCCTTTCCTTTCTCCGCTTCATTGGTTTTTAGCGGGAGATGACCGTTTGGCGAGAGTTGGTCGTTTTCCGCTTGATTAGAGGTTTCCATATGTTACGTATTATTATTATTATTATTACTCTTTATTAGCAAATAATGCTATTCATAGTATATCTACGCTAGCTTGGCTAAATGCGTTGTAGGACAACATATACGCGGCTTCTTTGAATTTTCTCCTAAACCAGTGTTCCTCCTTGTGAAGGATTTCAGCTTGAGCCCACTTGATGTTATGTTGATGAGTCGAAACATGCTCTGCTAGTCCAGATTTGCTGGTTTCTCCTCGCTGTGTGTTTCTTGTGCTCAGCAATGCGAACTTTCAATGGCCTCTTAGTTTCACCGATGTATGATTCTCCGCACTCGCAGGGTATCCGATAAATGCAATTCTTGGAATCGCAGTCCGCGTTTGGTGGCCGGGTTTTTGTGAGGCTGCTACGGATAGTGTTCCCTTGACCCAATCCTTCTCATCCTTTCCGATAATCCTCGGATGTCGGGAAGTACAAGTACTGGTTGCGGCGGCTTCTCTTCTTCGTGGAGCTGTTGCTGTCTTCTAGCTAAGGCCTGTTCCACCATTTCTCTGGAGTAACCATGTCATTTTTGATGATGCCTAGTTCCTTTTCGAGACCTTCCTTTGTATTACAGAGCCCGAAAGCAGGGTCTAGTAGAGTCTTGATGATTTCTCTCTTAGTCGATTGATGTTGGTTGGATTTCTGGTTCAGATACTGTCCTGTGTGAGTGGGTTTCTGATATACAGATTTTTCCCATTTAGTGTCGGTCCTTTTCACAAAAACGTATAAGAAAGGCAATTCGTTGTGGACGTCCTTCTCCATTGTGAAAGTGATGGAAGGACTTATAGGTCCTTCATTTGTGCTTCATTTAGGAGAAAATACAAAGGAGCTGCTTGTATGTTGTCCCACAACGCATCCAGCCACGCTAGCCTAAAGATACGCAACATACAGCAACCCACAATCAAGAGGGAAACTGCCAACTCCCGCCACACGGTCATCTCCCGCTAAACCGGTGGAGTAGTGAGAGGGAAGAGGGTATACGTGAAAATATTCGAATGACCTATAAATAATCATCTCTTGCAGGAATAAGTCCAGTCATCACCCGAAGACGATTGTGGGTACTAACAATCGAAACGTCGTGAAGTAACTTGGCTTGAATTTTTTTATTATTTTTTATGCTTGTATTTTATTATAATTTCATTTAAGGGTTTTTTTACTCAATATAATTATTTTCAGCTATTCATTATGAAAATAATTATATTGATCTTATTGATTCTTCCTGGAGTTTCAAATCATATTATATCATATTAGACAATAGAAGTCCTAACTGATGAAATTCAAAATTATATTTCAAATACTGCATTACAGTGCTTTTTTTCCCTTTCGAATGATTTGTTTTCTTTTTATTTGGTCAAATTCTTATTGGTGATATTGTAATCAGAAGTAGTACTGATTCAGTGAATTTTGTTTTAATTTTGAAAAAAGTATATATTATTTTCGTGTGAACTTCTGGCATTATGCAGCTTCTCTTACATTGTTTTTGATTGAAAAACATGTGGAAGTGAAATTAAAGTGGTTTCTTTAAATTATTATGAAATTAGATATTGCATTATTAAAGTTTTCTTCAAGTAAGTAAGGTTTACCGACATAATAATCCTCTGGTGTGAGTCATTGCTGACCATTTCAACTCATTTCATCAAAGAATATAAAATTCTGTTAGGAAAAATCCTACCTGTTTCCTGAAAGCTCGGAACTAGAAGAATTGAAGGAATTACAGTCTTTTACCCTTTGGGCCCATTTACTTTTAACTTCCTCTTGGACCCTCTGCTTCAAGGCATTCACTCTCTGCCTTTCTTGTTCTATTACTTGGGATCCTATAAAAATATAGTCGATTATGATTCTTTGGAAATATTTCAGTTTTGTTACCTTGTTGACAGAGATGTAAATGCCTATTCCTTTCTATTTCCCTAAGAGATTCTATAGTTTTTCTGCCAAGTGATCCCTGTCCATCAGTGATATTTATAGGTGCATCAGAAGTCACTCTGCTGATCCTATCTATGTCATCTTGACTAGGAAATTTTTTATCTGCAAATATTTTTGTACCACTTAACATTCTTGATATAATTTATTTTGTATTGAAGATATACGTTACAGATTACAGAATACAGAAAAAATGTTGAAATTTCACTTTGAACTCACCAATTCCAACTTCTAGAATGGACTTCTCATAAAACATCTTCTCATTGAAAGATTGAGACATATTGTACATATCATCATTAGGAATTTTCGAAGTACTAACTATAATCGAGCAACTTAAATCAGTCATTTTATCAAGTGAGTTATTAGATAGTTGTTTATCAATATCTTTCGACTTGTCGCTATCCGTGTCACTGGAGATTTCTTGCTCTGATTCTTCATTTGAGTGCATCAAAAGTTCATTTTCAATACTTCTTAGCCTGTTTCGTATTTCTTCCAGTCGCATCATGCATTCCATTTTTTGTTTTTCTATCGTTTTGAATTCGTTTGTATTCGTTTTAGAAGTGTTCATTTTTTGCTGTTCAAGGTCGAAGATCTGTGATTTTAACGTGTCTATTCTTTTAGTAAAATCCAAAATTTCTCTTTGTAGTTCTTCTCGACTGGCCAGCCAATCAGCTTCTTCTTCTAAGTGGTGAAATTCCAGATCTTCAAAAGCTTTTCTTTCATTGTCTAGTTGCTCCTGAGCGTGAAGGTATTCCTCAAACACTTGCTCATATTCGGGACTAGATTTAGGGGTAGATGACAATTTTTCATCTACTTTCGCCATGTTTTCTTGAGCAAGTTGAAGTTTTTTCTTGCATTCTTGTTGGTCTTCATCCTGCTTCATTTGACAATCTCTCATACTTTCTTCTATCCTTTGTGAACGTTTCTGTAACTTCTGTTTCTTGGCCTCAATCTTTTCCAGATCTAATAGTTTCGATTTATGCTCTCCAGATATAAGAGCCCTCTCTAATTCAATCTGAAACAGCAAAATGATATGTTGGATAATTTTAATCAGCAATAAAAATGTTTATTTCATAAAATAGATAACTTCTTATCAATAATATAATTGTCAACTTCACAACAAACAAGATACTCTCCCTCGTACATATGGACATGCTTGATGAAGCTATTGTATAGCAAAATACGGGTTGCGTTTTCGTAAACTGTTTACAGAATATCTCACAATAAAGTGTTACTTGGATAACTTTTTTTTAGTAAAACAAACTGGGACACAGCACTTTAGATAAAATGAGACATAAATTTAAATCATGTTCATTTTATTAGAGTAGTTATCTTGGAGTTTCCTAATGAAAGTAAAAAATCAAATATGAAAATGTATAGAATATGCAAAACTTATGAATATTTTCATAAACTACGCCTTACACAGTAGCTTTTTCGTAGTGAGTATGTAATTCATATGAAAAAGATACGGCCGAATCAAAAAGAAAACTTATGAATATTTTGGAATGTATTCATGATAGCACAAAAGAAATAAATTAATATCGAAAAGAGAAATGAAAATTTCTGTTTTTTACCACTTTTAATTGTAACTAACGTTACTGCAGTTTCGTCCTATATGGACATTCTCAAACTAATACAATAAACTAACAATGAATCATTACATTCGCCAATATATACCATTCAGGTACTTGATTGAGTACCTGAATTTACAGTTCACAATGCGGATGAATCGACACGTGTTTCAATCACCAAGTGATCATCTTCAAAAGGAAGATTAAACTCTCTTGAAGATGATCACTTGGTGATTAAAACACCTGTCGAGATGTTAAAAAATAACGTTTTGGTGTTGGAATAAAACTCCAGTAATATTCATTGAATGATGACAAAAATTTGAAATTATTGCCGTCATATTATTTGACTGGATTACACTTCTTTGTTCAAATATTTATACTGATATTATAATGAATTCTGATTTTATGGAAATTGCTCTTTACTAGGGACTTTGATGATCCCCAACCAATTTTTCTATTTCTGAAACATTACTGGCATTTCAATATCAAAGTATAATCCGATAAATATGTCGTCAGACAGTAAACACTCCGTTGTACACTGCTCCAGTAATTTTAATTTCAAGTGCTGTAATTCAACAACAGTAAGTCACTATGTTTGTGTTAATTGCTTGGGCTGTCCTTATTCATCTTTCACTGTCTGAACCACTGTGCCTGCTGCTTTTGCGAGTGCATTGGCTTGGGATGTGGAGGTTGAGCAAACCGGCCATCGGATGCTTGCTTCCACGTAGCCCCGCTGGATACGAGAATGACAGAATCACTTGTGGTTCTGTTATTCCCTAACTAAATGACATCCCAACGATGGCTTAATCCTAAGGTGTGTATATCCGTGGCCAGAGGATGAATGACACTGAGCCTATCAGCTGTAATGCGGGGCTCTGCCGTGATTGACCTTCTTTCCCTAGCTACTCGTGGGACTTTTATGGACTGAGTAAATTAAAAAAAATATCTGGCGTTGAGTCTACAGAGGAGATGGATGTCGAGCTTACGACTCCAACTGACCTCCCTGTAACTTCAGATCAGGAGCGAGAGCTTCTCAGCTCTTCAACTCCTGATCCAATAACTGAACCTAAAAAAAGATTTGGTGGTGCAGCCAGAAAACTTCTGCTTCGTCTTCTCAAGAGCGGAGTACCTTATGAAACCGCCTTGCACCAAATTCTTGAGCGGCGTACACAGAATCTGTCTCAGGTGGAGGAACAAACCCCCCATGAGCAGGTTAGCAAACGTTTGCGCTCAAATGATGACTCATCGAAACCAGAGGCGAAAAAGCCCTCCACGGCTGAATCTAAGGCATCGACAGATGTAACTGACGTACAAAAACCCTCATATGGAAAGGTTGTCGCGGGTATCAAGGTGGGAATCTTGCACCTTGATTATCCGACTACCTCATTAACGGCCAATCAACTAAAATCTCTTCAGAGGGTTATTTTGTCGGCTTTGTACCCGTTAGAGTAAATAAAGCGGGGGAGAGTGGAAATTCACCTAAGGGGAGGAGTTCAATCAAACCTCCACCCAAACATAGGGGCTCACTCCCATCCCAAGGCTGGGAAAATAGTTGGTTCTCAGGAGACGAAGACGGCTAACGTCTCGTCAAAAAAACCAGGGGAAAAGGCTGGACCTGGCTCTTCAAAATCGAAAACAAAAATCGTTTTCGCTTCGTCCAAACTCAGAGACGGCAGGTGTCCTCATCTCATCATCTGAGCCTACTAATCCCTCGGTCCTGGGGAAGGAGGGTGAAGGTGTCCTTAAGGATCCTCCATTTCCTCCCTTCTAGGGTCGAGGAGTTCTAAGTTTGCGGCAACACTTCGTTAACTTCAAGTGTGTGGCTTGGTGGCCGAAGGCTTTACAGAAAACGGCCCAGGCGAAGCTCTCTGGCTTGTCTGGTCATCAGTGGTGCCATCAGTACCACACCTTCAGCGGTCATGGAGATCCTTTTAGATCTACCTCCTCTTCACATTTTTCTAGAGAGATAAGCTAGATGGACTGCATATATACTTGTGCACATTGCCAATTGCACAAATCAATTTAATTCAGGGTGCAACAGACTGTTGGTTGACACTGGAAGTCACAGCATTCTGGAAATGACCTCTGACTTTATGCCTCCAACTGTCGATTACGAACTGCCTTTTAAAGTACTATTCCCAAGACGAGAGGACTGGATCCTTCGGGAGAAGGAAATATTAAGAGCAGATTGTTGTTGGTTCACAGATGGATCAAAAAACCTTCCGGTTCTAGTGCAGGTGTTTTCAGTCGCATACCAGGACAGAGATATCAACCAGCTAAGGAACCTATGCGGTATTGCATAGGAACCTATTAAATTGTGTGCGGGGAGATTGGAAGAATCCAACCTCATGCACAAGTCAATAAAAGTCAAGCGGACATTCAAGCGGACATTCAAGCGGACAGTCAAGCGGCGTTGGAAACTCTTGGCTCTACCGAGAAATGTCTAAATTGGTAGCAAATTGACAAAAACGACTCTCCTCTATAGGAATACTCAACATATTGTCTCTGGGGTCTGGATTCCTGGCCAAACTGACCTGGAAGACAATGAGGCTGCTGACTCCCTTGCAAAGGAGGGTGCTGCAAACAGCTTCATTGGGCCAGAATCTGTCACTGGAACCGCTTTAGGTTTGCCTGGATGGCAAGAACATTCATGGACTTCTGGCAGAATCTTCCAGGATTGGTTCACTCCAAGTCGTTTATTCACCCTTCGAAGATTGATACCAAACAGTTGTTATATTACAGTAGGGATGAACTATGATGTCTAACAGGCCTTCTTACAGGTCACTGTCATTTGAATCATTATATGCAGATACTCTGACTGTCGGAAGACAGTATGTGTCGCCTTCGTTAGGAAAATAATGAAACAGCAGAGCACATACTTTGTGCCTGCCCCGCTGGGGACCGAATCAGGTTTTTAGAGTTCGGCAGAGCCGTACTGTCACTATCTGACCTGAAAGACCACTCACTATAGAAACTAATTGAATTCGTAAAGAAGCTGGGTTTATTTGGTCGAGTGTGAATAGGTGTGAGCCACAATAAACCCTTTCGAGTTGCGGTGGAGGGTCAAATAGACCCACTCACTTTAGACCTAACCTAACCATAGTAGAAGACGAAAAACTCAAGAAGGTAGTAAGTCTGAACCAGTGCACGGCTTTGATGAAATCAGTGAAGAACAGCACTTTGAAATTTGTGAAAATACTGTGTATGTATGCCAACAAATATGAACTGGAACCAACTGGAAATATTGATGTCTTCAAAACCAAATTAGCGTTTTAGAGTTAGTTAGTGAGAAATCTATTGATGTCATAGTAATTGGGGACTTTAACATTGATCTTGGTGAATATAGAGATAATCAACATATTTCTATAGAGATAATCAACATATTTCAGTCATATGGTTATTAAAAAACATCTCAGATTTCACAAGAGTACAGAAACGATCAAAAACTGAAATTGACAATATTTTTACCAATTTCTATGTAAATAAATCTTATATAGTGGACTACCTTCTCTCAGACCGTAAGGCCCAAACAGTAGAAATTGCGGACGTGAGGCAAGGAAAAATCAAACGAAGATAATACGAAACAAAAGTTTGAATAAAGAAAAAAAATTCAAAAACAGATTACAAGCAGAAAATTGGCTTGGTGTTTACAACACCAGCAATGCAATAACCCCCAGCCATCTTTTACAATACATTCAATTACCATAACTGAAACACATAAAAAATGAAATAGAAATTCTTGATACACTGATAAAATCAGGAAGAATTCATATTGAAGAAATTGGAAAGAGAAGAAACATGAATATGAAGATCTCCTTGCAGAACACAGAAGGATGACAATAAATAATGAAATTAGGGAATCTAAGAGCCTAAAACCTCCTGGAAACATAAACAATATCACACGCAAGAAAATTACAGAGTCATACCCTCCCCAACTGATCTCAATAATCCCTTTGAAACACAAACTGACAGGATACTATCAAACTCCTAAAAAGAAAAAGGCATTCACTAAATTCCTCTTGAAATCTAATATTAGTGTGCAGACTTCTTTTACATTCTATCCAAGAGAAAGTGAAGTATATAAAATACTGAAATATCTAAAGAACTCTTTCGCATTGGATATTTATGAACATAATACAGTAATATATAAAAAAAATATTGGGTTTCTTGTTAGTCCAATTACTCATATCATAAACACCATTTTGTGTAATGTTTTTCCAGAAAACCTTAAAATGGCGAAAATAATTCCAATATTTAAATCAAAAGAAGCTGGGTTTATTTGGTCGAGTGTGAATAGGTGTGAGCCACAATAAACCCTTTCGAGTTGCGGTGGAGGGTCAAATAGACCCACTCACTTCAGACCTAACCTAACCTAACCTAACCATAGTTAGGTTAGGTTAGGAAACATAAACAATATCACACGCAAGAAAATTACAGAGTCATACCCTCCTCAACTGATCTCAATAATCCCTTTGAAACACAAACTGACTATCAAACTGACTATCAAACTCCTAAAAAGAAAAAGGCATTCACTGAATTCCTCTTGAAATCTAATATTAGTGTGCAGACTTCTTTTACATTTTATCGAAGAGAAAGTGAAGTATATAAAATACTGAAATATCTAAAGAACTCTTCCGCATTGGATATTTATGAACATAATACAGTTATATATAAAAAAATATTGGGTTCCTTGTTAGTCCAATTACTCATATCATAAACACCATTTTGTGTAATGTTTTTCCAGAAAACCTTAAAATGGCGAAAATAATTCCAATATTTAAATCGGGGGACAGGAGGATCCGAATAATTATCGTGGAATTGTAATGTAATGTTCTACATACTACATGGTTGTTGGTGTCCTGTGTCTGTAACTCTGTTGGGTGATGTTCCAAGCTTCGACAGAGGTTAAGAAGGTGAGGTCGATGTGATATATTCTGGTGAGCAAATTATAAAGTATTGAGAAGCAAATAAACCCAAATAAAAGATCTCAGAGTTTTATTTGCATGATACGACAGAATAGCTCGCCTACCTATTTTAGCAAAATTTGCTGAGAAGCTGATTTACCATAGAATAAGTGATTATTTTGATGAGAACTGTTTTTTCTCAGAACATCAATATGGTTTCAGGAAAGGAAAATCTACAGCTGAAGCAGTGAGAAAATTTGTTGAGTTTGTAGCCGATGGGTTTGAAGCCCTCTATGGCAGTTTTCGTTCACCTTCGTAAAGCTTTTGACTGTGTTAATCACACTATACTAATTGAAGTTGAAATTCAACGAATTTTCTGACTCTGCTAAAAAACTGATGACATCCAATCTTCAAAATAGGTCCCAAATAGTTCACTGCAATAATCAGAATAGTTCAGGTCTGACAATACATAAAGGTGTACCACAAAGTAGCGTTTTAGGACCGCTATTGTTTTTGATTCATATAAATGACCTACCCAAAAACGCATTAGCAACATTGTTTGCTGATGATGCTCCCTTTGCAACCAGAATCAAAAGTAACTCTACAAGAATCGATGAGATGATAGATCGATCATCAATCAAGAGTGGTTCACGGCAAACGAACTAAGTTGAAACACACACAAAACTCAGATACCAAGCATACTGTCACTCAGAGCGTAAAATTTCTAGGACATATTGATCCCAATTTAAATTGGAAACTTCAAGTAGATCAATTAACAAGTAAGTTATCAAATCATTTGCAATTAGTCTCATTGAACTTGGAGGCAGCCATCTCTGCTTACCATAGAATGTTTCACTGTATTATGACTTACTGTCTAAATAACTGAGGCCATTCTTGCCACACTCAGTCAATATTTGTTATCCACAAAAGAGCCATTAGAGCTCTGACCCGTATAACCCAGACTGATAGCTGTAAACCATGGTTCATAAAGTCTAAAATACTGGCACTTCCATCAGATATTATTTACAACGAATTAATCTATATAAAAACGCAAAGGCATTTGTACACATTCAGTGGAGATGTACACAATTATCCGTCTAGAATGAGATTCCATATCACTATTCCCAATAATAGAATAACCTCTAGTAATAAGAAACATTTTGGTATCAGATTATTCAACTCTCTACCAGACTTCATCAAAGAAGGTCCAATAACCATGTTTAAAACAAAACTAAAATAGTATATTATGCAACGATCATGTAATGATGGTTATCAAGACACGAGCATTAACCGGGATACGAAACGAGCCGAAGGCGAGTTTTGTATGGTATATGCGAGTGTATTAATAACCATTACATGAGAGTTGCATACGCTATTTTTTCTAAACCCGATAAATAATGAAAAACTATAAATATTATATTTGTATTGAACACATTTACAGTAATT